GATTTATAACCACTACACTATCAGCTATCAGAGCTCCCAAAGTAGCATTCTCATCTAAAGTTGTTTCATCCCCTCCCCATGAACTTCCCTTACTTCTTTGATGGGTATTCTTATTTTAAAAGAGTCTAGTAGGTCAAACTAGTCCCTTCCTCTTCTCAAAGTTCCCTTTTGTCATGCCAACTTGATATACCCAAGATTTCCTTGATTCTGAAGATGGACCACCAACAGCCATTTCATACACAGGCAAGAAGACAATAGGATAACATACATAAAACTCAAAAAAAAAAAAAAAAAAAAAAAAAAAAAAAAAAAAAAAAAAAAAAAAAAAAAAAAAAAAAAAAAAATCAACGAAGAAGCATAGATCCAACAAAATTGTCCATCAAATATGACTGAGAAATCAGGTCATTTTCAGACAAATTAAAAATTAAAAGAATTTATAAAAACCTAATCAACCTTACAATAAATACGAAAGAGAGTTCTTTGGACACAGAACCAACAATAGCAGACAATAACCTAGGACCAAAATATAAAACAGTATCACCTAAAGTCAACCTAGATATAGAAATATGCAAAATAAAACAAACCTATAAGACTGAAAATAGAGAACCAGAGCTATAGATGCAACAACAATACACCATAAAGTAAAAAGTAAAAGGGGGGAGGGGGGAGCAGGTAGAATAATCCAGTTACAAAACTTCCAAATGAAGAGGAAAGCAAATAGATTTTCAAGAAAGAAAAAAAAAAAAAATTAACTTAATTTAATAATAATAATAACAACAAAAACTAAACCTGCCACAGGGGTAAAACTGTGAAAACGCTACTTAAATCCAGACAGCTTGAAGGAATGAGTCATTGGACTTGGAAGCTTAGGACCACACAGTCTTGGGGGTATATCAAGGTCAACTGACATAACATAGTTCATAAGATAATGTTCTACATCCTGCTAGGGTGAGGAGACTCTGGAATCCTAAAAACTAGTAAGAGGCATCCAAGGTGCAATTAATGGTCTCTCCTGATCTGAAGCAAAGAAGCACAAAGAAAATCAAAGACTCAAGGAAACACATTATCCGAAGGACAAATGGACCATGTAAGGCACAGATGGTATTTGCCTACTATTACCAACTGCACTGATCAAGACCATAGAAAGGTCTGAACAGAATGGATAAAAAAAAGTAAAACAAAATTCAAACTCGTAAAAGAGACCAGACCTACAGATTTGACAAAAACAGGTAGAACTTCTTAAATACTCTTTAAATCTGGATCTGAAACCACCCCCAGGGATCACCTTTCAAACAGATAGGCCACTAAAGTGAACAACAGTACTTGTGAAAAACTTGTGCTCCCCAAAGAACAATTAACCATACAAAACCAAAAGGATAGTATTTACCCCCAAAACAAAAGGCAAGAAGGGGTAGGAAAGATGGGGAATTCAGAGAGTAAATGGCAAGAGTGCTGTTGAATTGGGGGAATTGCAATAAAAAATTATAAAACGAAATTATGTCTAAATTGTTGCATGGAAATGAATTTGTTCTGTAAACTTTTATTAAACCACAATACAGAAACAAACAGAAAAACCAGTATATATACAGCCACATTTGTTTACATCATTTACATGTGTCATGCTGTACGATAAGCACTGGACTGGCAACCGCAAGGTCAGTGGTTCAAACCCACCAGCCACTCCTCAGAAACCCTATACAAGGTCATTAAGGGTCAGAACCAACTCAAAGGCACTTAACAAAAACAATAATAGTACTTTTAGCGGCATAAAGCCTCTAATATCCATCTTTAGTTACTGAGCAAGTTGTGGTTGTTGTGTGCCATCAAGTTGGTTCAGACTCATAGCAACCTTTGGGTTAGAACTCCAGTGCTTATACTACAAGGTTAAGCCCCAAATTTTCAAAAGCAGAAAAAGGAAAGCTGTCTCTGAGCCCTGTTCTGGAAGTTGTAAGAGTAGATTAAGCCAAGATGACTATTTTCTCATTGAAAATCAATGGTTTGAATGGGATAATATTCCTTTCTAGGAGATGTTTTGAAAATATGTGGGAGGCGTTTTTGATTATCATAATAATGAGGTAGGGAGGACTGATGATTAGGATGAGGATCAGGGATTTTAATAGACTGCAGAGTGTGGGACAATCAGTACAATAAAGAACGTGTTCCCTTTCTCCAGTACTTTTGAATGTCCTGCTGGATATTCTTATAGCTAAAGTATCTGTTTATAATTAACAGAGCCTAGATCCTAATTTAATCTCACAAGGTAATTTCTATATAGCTGTAACAGATAAGTTTCCCAAAATGCAACTACTGTACAATTTGGGAAAGACAGATTTAATTTTGTTCAGAAATTTACCGAGAACTATATACTATTTTGAAGTCCTGGTGTGGTGCTGTGGACTAATGCATCAGACTGCAAAGTCATTTGAACTGCAAGGTCGGTGGTTCAAGCTCACCAACTGCTCCTTGGAAACCCTCTACAGGGTCACTATGGGTCAGAATCGACTCGACAGCACTTAACAACAACAACAATATACTATTTTAAGGAGTTCTGGTAGTGTAGTAGTTACGAATCGGTCTGCAAACCTCGATATCAACAGTTCGAAACTACCAGCTGTTCCCTGGGAGAAAGATGAGGCTTTCTGCTCCCGTAAAGATTTACAGTCTTGGAAACCCTGTACAGAGTCGCTATTAATCAGAACCAACTCCACGGCACATAACAACAACAACATATACTATTTTGGAGTCCTGGTGTGGCATTCTGAGTTAATGTGCTGGATTGCAAAGTCAGGTTAAGCTGCAAGGTCGGTGGTTTAAGCTCAGTTGCTGCTCCTTGGAAACCCTAAACAGGGTCACTATGGGTTGGAACTGACTCCACGGCATTTGACAACAACAACAACATCTTTTATTCTTAATGTTTTCATCTTCCAGCACTGACAATGTTCCATTGCTATTCATAAAATTTTCAGTGGCTAAACATTCATAAGTAGTATGCTTCTCCTTTCTTTCTTGTCTGTCTGTGTTTGGAAATTCTTCTGAAATCTGTCCACCATGGGTGACTTTGCTGGTTTTTTAAAGTATCAGTGGCATAGCTTCCAGCATCACAGCAACATGTAATCTACCAAAGTAAGACAAACTGACAGATGAGTGGTGGATAGTAAAACTACAACAAAATATAAACAAGGATAATGGGCTTGAGAAACACTGTATAGAATACCTCAAATGTAACCATATTGCATAATACAGTTAGGACTGCTCAGTATAAATCAATCTTTTATGCAATATTTACATATAGTATAAAAAATGATCAAGAGTATTTTTTTTTAACAATGTAAGCTACAAATGCCTATTTAATGTATGTAAAGTGCAAGAGAACTGAACACTAATGACTGAAGACTAGAAGAGTTGTGAGATGACATCAAAAACATTATAATCGAGGAAATTATTGTCATTAAAAAGACAGGAAAAAAAGGAAAGATAACAATGGATGTTGGAAGAAAACTCTGAACCTTGCTGTTGAATGTAGACTTGCTAGAGCAAAAGAAAGAAATGATGAAGAGCTGAACAGAAGATTTCAAAGGGTGGCTTGAGAAGATACAGAAAAGCATTTTAATAAAATGTGCAAAAACCTGGAGTTAGAAAACCAAAAAGGAAGAACATGCTCAACATTTCTCAAGCTGAAAGATCTGAAGGAAAAATTAAAGATCTGAAATAAAAACTAAAGCTTCAAGTTGTAATACTGAAGGATTCTAGTCCTGGTGTAGCACTATGGATTAGACTGCAAAGCCGTTTGAACTGCAAGGTTGGCAGTTCAAGCTTACCAGCTGTTCCTCGGAAATCCTATACAGGGTCACTATAGGTCAGAATCGACTCAATGGCACTTAACAACAATTGGCAAAAGACTAGATGTTGCAAGGAACACCAAAAGACAAAAGGAATATAGAGTTACTGTACCAAAAAGAAATGGTTGCTATTGGACCATTTCAACCATGCTATTAAAGGAAAAAGTCCAACTTGCATTGAAGGCATTGGTGAAAAACAAGGTTCCAGGAAATTTATAGAATACCAATAGAAATTTTCAACAAATGGATACAACACTAACAATATTCACTCATCTATGCCAAGAAATCTAACTGATTGAGATCCACATTTGTGCCTATTCCAAAGAAAGGTGATCTAAAATAATGTAGAAATTATCAAGTAGTATCATTATGTAAGTAAAAATTTGCTGAATATAATTCAAAAACACTTGCCGTGGTATACTGACAGAGAAAAAGCCAGAAATTCAAATCAGATTCAGAAGAGGACCTGGAAGAAGGAATATCACTGCTGACATCAAATGGATCTTAGATGAAAGCAGAAAAACCAGAAAGATGTTTACCTGTGTTTCACTTATGCAAAGGCATTTGACTATGTGGATCATAATAAGCTATGGAAAACATTGCGAAGAATGAGGATTTCAGAACACTGATTTGTGCTTATGCAGAACCTGTACACAGACCAAAAAGCAGTCAGATTAGAACAGGGGATACAGTGTAGCTTAAAGTCAGGAAAGGTGTAGGCTAGGGTTGTATCTTTTCACCATATATATTTTCCATGTGTATGCTGATTAAATAATTCTAGAAGCTGGCCTATATAAAGAATGAAGCATCAGGATTAGAGGAAGACTCATTAATAACTTGTGATATGCACTTACTGAAGGTCAAAGACTAAAGCATTCAATAAGGATTACATTTCAACATAAAGATAACAAAAATTCTTACAACTGGACCAAACATCGGAAGGTTGTGAGGATGATGGAGTGTTTCATTCTGATGTACTTATTAGGGCTGCTATGAATCAAAACCAATTCAAAGGCACATAACAACAAAAAGAACAATAAAGTCTAAGAAAAAGCTAGTAAGCAGAAAGCTCTTTTTGTCTCTAAAAATAAGTGAAATTTAGTACTGTGAAAAAGGAAGGAAATAAATATATACTTGGAGATACTCTACATATTTTCTTACCTTCCATTGCAAAGTGAGTGAATTTTTGGTCCGATTGGCTATCCTTGGTGGATTAGGTATATCAGGTTCACAGCTCAAAGTGGTAAAGCTTTCGGCTTCTGAAGGAGTTCCCTTTATACAATTATATTCTGCCTGAACCCTATGGTGATAAAACATACTTTTACCCTGCAGAATCATCATATCCTACATTCAACAGCATCACATAAGTACTTATACATGTTCTCTAAGTTTCCTATCTAGATAATATGAATATTAGAAACAAAAGAGTAGTTCTTAAAATAGGACAGAAGTTTTTTTAAACTGCAACCCAAAGTAAAAATATACTTAAACTATGACACAGCTGTAGCTATGTGAATATACAAACTCACTACATATATGAAAAGTTTCCTGAAACAATATTCTTAACTTTCTATTGTATTTGATTCCTTTTCACTTTCTAAAAAATGCCAAAAAATTAATATCATGGTTCATTAATGGTTGCAATCTGTAGCTTGATAAACACTAGGTTGAACAATATTGAGTTCATCTAAAGGAAGCATACTTTAATGTATTAGTTTAATAGGAAACATTCCTACCACAAATATTCCTTTTAAAAAGCTGTACACGATTACTACATGTATTATACTGGGCTCCAGCTAGGGTTATCCTGGAATCTACTAAATTTCAGTAAATTTACTAAATTTCTAGTAAGGTCCTAGAAGAGGAACTGCACAGAGTAAAACAGTATCTAAGTCACTTGAGTAAAAATTCTGAGTATTTCAATATATCCCCAAAGCTTTTGAAAACAAGGTGTAGTAAAAATATTTAAGTACAAACCAAATACCATTAATGATCCTGTTTTGAACAAATTTCAAAAGCATGGGTAAATTCCTAGTGCTAAATTAGGTACTGCAAATATATTATACAGATTCACCACAGTTTTGAGGCCTTATAAAGTGATCAGAATCCTGGTGTGGTGTTATGGGTCAATGCGCTGAACTGCAAAGTCAGTTTGAACCTCAAGATGGGTGGTGTAAGTTCAATAACCACTTCTTGGAAACCCTATACAGGGTCGCTATGGGTCGGAATTGACTCGATGGCACTTAATAACAACATAAGATAATTACTCTCCATTATAATATTTGAGTCAATTTTGCTTTAATTTTCTTTAGAGAAAAATGTTGATAAAACAGTATCAATACAAATAATGAAGTCTATAAAGTTTATGTTTTTAATTCAGAATTAATATTTAAATTATATACTTCTAAGGAATCACTGGACTCCTGGTATGGCACTGTATGATCAGCATTGAACTTCGAACCATAAGGTCAGCAGTTCAAATCCACCAGGCTGCTCTTTGGAAACCCTATACAGGGTCACTTTGAGTTAGAACCAATTTGAAGGCACTTAACAACAACAGGGAATCATTATTTTTAAAAATCTATCAATTAAAAGTAACATGTAGGAAGTATTTCCTTACTTTGCATAGTAGTCTGTAGCTGGCTTGAGATCATTTACAGTGACACTTGTTTCTTCTCCACTGGGAAAGAAAAAGGGGGAACAATTCATTGTCTGACAAATAAAGCATTTCCAGAGAATTGTATCGATTTCACTATCAATTTGTGGTACTATGTGAAATTACACTGCTCTTTACCAACTGTAACCTTATTCATATTCCATTAACATAGAATTTGTACAATTACGACATGTGTCAAACTTAAATAACTGTATATCATGTTAAAACCAAAAGTTATGCTAGAAAAATCAGTTGGGTCAGCCAGATCTTTGTGTGTAATGGATTTGGGGAATATATTTAGCTTACTGAAGAAATGGGCTGTTTTAAATTATTTAAAAATTTATCTTTCACATGGCTAAGACACTAAATAAACTGACTTAAAAGTGAAACTACCAAAATTTTACAAGTGATTTGCCACTGTTTCATTTTATCAGAATATAACACTTTACTTAATTTAATGTGTAACCATTTATAAGTAGACATAAAAAGATAAGAAAAAAGTGAACTTACAGAAATGCATTTCCCATGACTACTACTCAATTGTGAAATACAACAGTATACAACTTTTAAAATCAATCAGATAAATTTGACCTGCCTGTTCTCTATTTGTTTCTTTTCTTTTTTATTGTGGTAAGTATATATTCTTCTTTTTATCACTATTCCATATTTTATTTCCTTCAATCAAATTTCTCTCCTCTCTACTTTATGGATGCCCCCCCCCCATTCTATTCACCCCGCCAAGCTATCTTGTTTCTCAAATCACAAAAAAATATTAAAAATAAAATACATTTTATTGATGGAAGTACACACAAGTTGATTAATTGGGTAAGTATAATAACATCCTCGGAGAACTTAATTGGCATAGCATAAATGAGGTGCCTAATATTTCTCTTGTGAGTGGCTACAAATGGAGATAAATTCTTCCTTATAGTAAGTAGCCATAATTAAGTAGAAACAGCCATTAATACAAACAAGAAACTTATATGTTTGTATTTCTGTATTTCACATTTCTCCCTAGGTAAGTTTATCTATTTTTAAAAAGATGAATAAAATAAAGACAGGGTAATTTCAGATGAGAGAAAGAGGCAGAATATTTTCACCACCTTACACTATTAGTGGTCACCAAGGTAGTTTCAACTTCTTTTCTTCCCTATACCAGGTTATTTTTTTAATAAAAGATACCAAGAAATCTCAGTGTTAATGACAAGCCACCTCTTTCACAATCTTCCTGTGCTTAAATTATAACTAACCATCACCTTTCACCTTTTATGCTTTTACTTATGAGAATAAGTAACTTTTACATATAAGGCTCAAGGAGTTCTGGTAGCATAGTGGTTACGAGTCAGGTTGTTAATTAACCTCAAGGTCAGCAATTTGAAACTCCCAGCTGTTCCACGGGAGAAAGATGAGGCTTTCTGCTCCTGTAAAGATTTACAGCCTCGGAAACCCTATACAGGGTCATTATGAGTCAGAACCGATTCCATGGCACACAACTACCACCATATATAAGGAGTAGAGTCCTGGTGCAGTGCTATGAGTTAATGCACCAGATTGTAAAATCATTTGAACTGTAAGGTTGGCGGTTCAATCTTACCAACTGCTCCTTGGAAACCCTGTGGGTTGGAATGACTCATCAGCACTTACCAACAACAACATATATAAGAAAAGCATGTTGTAACTGCTAGTCATAAACATCACAATTGTAGCTATTTTTCTTAAGACGACTTGATATGCAATCCATTTCTGAAGACAGGGAAAACAGCTATAAATATGATTCTTAACATATTCTGTTGTGGTGCTGTAGGATAAGCACTGGATAGCTAACCTCAAGGTTGGTGGTTCAAACCCACCAGCCGCTCCTCAGAAATCCAATAAAGGTAGTTATGAGTTGGAACCAACTTGACAACACTTAACAACATTAACATATCAAAATAAAATGAGGAATACATAAACTTGTACATATAAGAATTAAATCCAAGTTCTTACAGGATCAGTATCACACTTCATAAGTTCATCACAAAAAGAGTTCTCCACTTTTGCTCCATAGTTCCATATATCACAATTTATATTTCTAATCTGAGAATATTATCAGTACTGGAATATCTAACAGAGTCCACTGAACTTCCAAAAGCTGAACGTGGTCAACGAATGTGATTATTCCAAGGTAGTATTATGCACTTGCCTGCATTTGGACCACATATATATCAGAAATGTGCACTTGCCTGCATTTGGACCACATATACATTAAAACTATGATCACTTATAGATTCAAAATAAAAGCATGAGGGAGGATAAATACAACAAAATTAGTATTAAGCTCTTTATAACTTACAGAATGGGAGGAACTAAAATATAACAAATACCCACACATAAACACTCCTATATTTCCCATCTTTTCCAGTACTTGAAACCAGAACTTCGTAACCATAGAGCTCTGGTACAGTAGTAGTCTCATCTGTTTCGCCGTTAATGAAGCTGGAAGGTGGTGACCAGGTAAGTACTACTGTTCTTGCCTGGATGTCAGAGGCCTGCAAAAACACAACATTTAAAATGCTTGAAACAATTGGAATGAGCACAATGAATATTTAATATCTTATGAAGATTCTAGGTTAAATAAAATGTATCTGCATATATTGATATATAGAAAGGCTCACAAACAGAATATCCATTTGTATATGGGAAAGTTTGTTGTCAAAGGACCGACAGATTTAACAAAAGTTTAAAGACCATTTTGGGCCATTCAAACTTATTACAGCAAATACTGTAAACAGTCAAAAGACTGGGAGGGAAAAATCCACTTATAATATATATAAAAGGATTTGTTTCTTCACATTAGAAAGTGTTTATAATAAGAAAACAAAAAACTTTTGAGGCAAATGAACAAAGGACCTAGACAGGCCAAAGAAACATAAATTTATTAAACAGACAAAAGATGATGTGTCACTGCATTTACAATTAAATATGCAAATTAAAATAAGATACCATTTCTCAATCAGCAAATTTAGGAAGATTAAAAAGCTAATATCCTGTATGTTTAGGGCTTGGCAAAATGAGACCACTCTTAAATGTGGATTGGAGTATAAATTGGCATAATCCTTACATAGAGCATCTTGAGAATCATTACATAAATTTAACATGTGCTTGTTCTTTAATTTAGCTATTCCATTTGCAGGAATTTTTCATTTAGGATATATAACTTGGAATATCCTATAAATTTATACAAGTATATGAAGTTACTCATTTAAGAATGTTCACTGCTACATTGTTAATAATGGCCCTGAAAATACGGAACTGATTACTTTACTTATGATACAAAATCTTTTAAGGACCATGAAATTTATCAAAAAGAATAATATAGATTTGTACTGACATTTAAAGATGTCCTCAATATATCCATATTACGCAACAGTGAAAAAGGAAAGTTACAAAACATTTAATGATGATTTTAATTGTATCAAAATGAATATATGCATAAAATGTGCTATATTATTAATTGTTATTATTGGAGACTGTGTACGTATGCTGGGATGTGAAAGATCAGGAGATTTTATTATTGTTTTATCTATTTCTGTACTATTGAAACAATTTTGTGAGTATTCATTAATTTTACAGTAACAATTTAAAAAAAAAGGGGGGGGAGTGCAAGAAGCTATGAGGATAAACACTGGACTGCAAACTACAAGGTTGGTTTGAGCCCACAAGTTGCTCCTAGGTATTTACAGCCTCAGAAACCCTATATAGCTTCACTGTGAGTCGGAACTGACACTATGACACATAACAACAACAAAAATGAAAAAAATTACTAGGGACTTGATAAGGTTTAAAAAGTGGTAAAAAAGTTATCAGACTGCACGGCATCTAAGTAAAAACTTGCTTTAAAATGATCCACATTTAATGTTTAATCTCAGTGTTCCTAAACGTAAAAATACATATTCACTAACCATCTGGATGTGTATCACCCATCTCTTGATTTAAACAGAACAAACCAGCTATACACAAATGTAGGTGTCCTGGTGTGATACTGTTGGATACGCACTGGGCCGCAAGGTTGGGTGTTCTAACCCACCAGCTGCTTCTTGGAAACCCTATTTAGGGTTCACTATGACTAGAAACCAACTTTATGGTACTTAACAATAACAACTGTATTTGTTCTACTTCTGTTAAGTCACATAATTATTTTATTTACTGCAATACTATCATTAAAAAGTCTTAGTACTTAGTTTCTTGGTACAATGAACTTAAAAATTATTCATTGTATCAACAAGTACCCTTTGACTATTTACCTCTAATTGAGCTGGTTTATGTTTTTTTTGTTTTTAAGTAAACACACTGTTAACAGGTATGTGTACCCTTAAGAGTCTCTTTATTTTATGGCATAACACAGTTATGTTAAATTACAAGACAATAAAGTGAACAGTATTCTGAAGGTTGTTGTTGTTAAGTGCTGTTGAATTATTTCCGACCCATAGCGACCCTGTATAGGGTTTCCAAGGAGTGGCTGGTGAGCTTGAACCACCGATCTTGTGGTTCAAATGACTTTGCAATTCAGCACATTAGCCCACAGTGCTACACCAGGTAGGCTAGCATTAAATAGCATCTACTTTATGAAGCCTTTTTACTCAGGCTTTGTAGGTATTGACCATCAAACATATGTGTGTGTATATGTTAACAGTGCAGTGTTTATCTTACAGGGCCACACAACGCATATGCATTAGACTGCAGATAGCTTGGTGATACTGAACTCAGCCTTTAGAGTTTCAGACTTCATTATAAAATGAGTGTATGTGCATGACCATTTGCTTACTTACTGTAATTATTCAAGTATAGTATATTCAAAAGACTTTTTATAAATTTAATTAACAGAAAAACTGGAAATCTAATATGTAGAATTCCTGTATACCATTAACCCAATTTCCCCTAACGTTAACATCTTACATGCCCATGTACTTTAGTCAAAAGCAAGAAATGAACACTGGTAGACTAACTGGTAGAACACCATTATAAAATTACAGATTTTATTTGGAATTCACCAGTTTTTCTACCAATGCCCCTTTTTCTATTCTGGTACCTAATATAGGAAACCATGCTGACTTTTTTTTTTTTTTTTTAACATTTTAAGACAAACTGCTAATTTCAACTTTTCCAGTTTTTAAAGAAAAACTCTTGGCCTCAACCAATTCTATTAAAAAAGATTTTATTACTTGCACATAAATGTTAAGGCACAAATAGATAGACAGGTTAGTTGTGAAAAATGTCAAAACAATTTTAAATACAATTTACAAGACTTCAGATGGGATATAATTTGATAACAATGAGATGAGTAATTTATTATGTGAAGTTTAAACTTGACAAGCTGATGGTTCAAGGCATCAGTGTGTATTTAAAAGTTTTATCATCACTAGTACTATGAGAACCACAGATTAAGGCAGAAAAAGATAAAGGCAAATGACCGTTAAGAGTTATAGGAGGAAAGGAAAGACAGTCATGTCTTAAAAGATACAGGTTTTAGAATTTTCAGGTATCAACTACAACAGGTTGTTAATGAGTCTTCCTCCAATCCTGATGACACATTTTTCTTCATAGAACCCAGCTTCTCGTATTATTT